AAAAAAAAAAAAAAAAAAAGAAAAGGAAAGGTCACAGCAATACACAGAGAAGAAAGATATATGAAGAGAGGAACAGAAACTGGAATGATGCTGCCACAAGCCCAGGCACATCCAGGCTACCAGCTGCTAGAAAAGATGGGGAAAGATTCACCCCTACATCCTTCAGAGGGTGCATCACCCTGCTGACATCTTGATCTGAGACTTCTGGCCTCCAGGACTGTGAAAGAATAACTTTCTGTTGTTTAAGCCACCAAATTTATGGCACCTTATTATGGCAGCTCTAGGAAGTACAATATACATGCAGCCACTACGTATGTGACTGCAACCATTTAGTCACGGTAGGCTCATCCACCCCGCCCAGCAGACATTGAGGAAATGTCTCTTCCTCAAGCCCAGAAGTCTGTTCCAGCCCTACCTTCTTCCAGATGCCTGGAAGAGTCAAAAGTGTTAGCATGAAGCAGCTCATTTAAAGTGCATTTGGCAGTGACCGGACGAGAGCATCACATAGTGGGGCACATACCTATGTCCTGGTAATGCCAACCCCCTGTATAGAACTCCTCCAGGAGGGCAGGGGGCTGCCACGTCTGCAGGAGCAGATCCACCTGCTGCTGCTTCCGCCAGCTCAGGGACTGGCACAGCATGTCCCGGGCCTTGTCCAGGTGGAAGTCACGGGCCCGCAGGAACCGAAGGATGTGCTCGTCTTTGGGGATCTGAGAGACAAAGACGTAAAAGAGCCTACAGAAAAGTACTTCCTAAGACAGCAGACAAAGCCACAGAAAGTGAACCTCCTCTACACACGTCACCTGCAAAACATTCAGCTGGGAAAAAGGCCATGTTCTCTCTCAACCACAAAGCTAAGAGATAGTCAAGGGGTGGACAGTAGCAAATACTGGTGCGTTTTGGCCACCTAATGTCCCCCCCACCCCCTTGCACCAGGAATAGCGTCTTTCTTTTGGAGAACAGCTCCTCCTCCCTGCTCCCTGATGTGCACATCTTGCAAAACCAGCCCCAAGAAGAGCTGCCCTTTCTTGAGCGTGCACCCTGATCTGGATACCATCTGAGCACTTTCCAGGGAGTACTCTGGAGGTGTAGCTAACGTGAGCCCCACTTCACAGATGAAAAACCAGGAGCAGAGAGGTTGAATCCCAGCCCAACACTAAAGTACCTCCCTTCTCCACCCCCAGTGTGGGTGCGAACAGCTCATGACCCAGCAGGAAGTTCTCATTCAAAAGAGTTGAGACAAAGTCTACGCGTGGCCCCAACTGGCATGGTGCACGCCCATGTGATGGGAGTCAGAGCCTAAAGGCAAATCCACAAGGAGTCAAAACTGCCCTCACAGTTATATCTTTTAGGAAAGAACGGCCCAAGCTGGTCCAAAGGTAGTGTGTTGTCTCACTTGACTATTCACAGTCAGTTACAGATTGAGCTCCTTGTTCTACTCTTTCCCTCTTCTCACTACTGCAGTTAAGAAGCAAAAAAACCCAATTAATTTAATTTAATTTAAAAAAAAGAAAGAACAGCCCACAGGGTTTCATGAACATGGCACTATACAACAGTGGTTCTCAGCTGGGGTGTCTGCGTCCTCCAGGGAATATTTGACAATGTCAGGACTTTTGGGTTGTCACAACTGGGGGAGGGGGAGATGCTGGCATCTGGAGGATGGACCAGGGGCATTGCTAAACATCTTGCAGTGTCCAGCGACACTGTCCAGCAACAGTTCTTTTGTGGCTATGTCAATAGCCACAAGAACCCCAGCTGTCTGTGGTACACACAGCCCACGCCATGGAGACATGAGATAGTATTTAATAAAATTACAGCAAAACATGACCCTTAGTATTGCTGGTTACACAAACCTATTTATCTCACCTTTTCTCCTTTCTTCCCCCACCCCCCACCCTGCTAAGGCTGAGTATCTGCCACCTGTGAGGCACCACTCCAAGGGGATCCAGCTCTGCACCCACCTTGCCTTTGTGGGTCTCCTGTAGCCAGTGCCGAAGCTGGATCAGGCAGCTCTCCTGCATGGGCGTGAGGTGGCCCAGGCACCTCTCTATGTAGTCTGAGTCCAGCTTGTCCCCTTGGAGGAGGGAGGAGGGCATCAGGACAAGACACTGCACCTCCTAACCATGTGCCCTGCCCTTTCTGGAGCCTTCCATCACTCACTAGCCATCCCAGCTCTGAAACATGGGTACAAGCCAGTCTGTGGCCTCCATTCACTTTTCCAACCCATTTCCAAGGTGGTTCTGGAAACTCATGCCAGGTTGAACCTGGATCTCACTGTGAGATGTGATTTCTCCTCTTTGACCCTTAAAAATGAAGATAATTCCCACCTCTGGAGCTCTGCTGAAGATTATTAACAATAGGAACTCAAATTCACTGTGTGCTCAGGAGGTCCAGGGCTGGGGGTCACACCAACTGTGCCAGGAGGCAAACCGAGGCAGGAGGATGCCTGAGAAGACCATCTAGACCTCAAGTGGTCAGAGGCAGAGATGCTGGTGGTGTGGAGGGGATGAGGCAGGACAAGAGAGGGACACTAGAATGAGGCAGGAGCTCCTGGCCTCCTTCCAGCCTCAGGGCAGATGTGGAGCTCAAAAGCTCAGTGACTCAGAATGGGTGGGAGGGGCATGACTATGCCTTCTACTAGTCAGCCCAGGGCCAGCACTTCTGTTGGACAGCAGATGGGAAGGGGAAGAAAGGCCTGTGCAAAACACAGAAGGTACAAGGGATGAGGTCACAGAGAATGTGCATGGATGGGGCTGGAGAGGGCACTGTTGCAAAGAAAGAATAAAAATACACAGCAGCCAGCCAGCACATACAGTTGATGCAGAATAAATCTTTGTATGAATGAACTGTGTTCTCCCTAAACACAGGCTCCACATTATCAGTTACATGGCATTGTCACTCAAGTGTCTCAGAGCCAGGCAAGTTCCTACACTTCAGGGGCCCTGAAGAAAAACTGAATCAACATAAGTGTACATAAAACTGGATTTGTGGTGTATGTATGGTTTGTATCCTGGTTTTATTTTTCCTTCAGCATTATATCAGCAATATTTTCCAGGTCAATAAAAGTCTGAACTGTGACAAAGGGCCAATTGCCTTAATATACAAAGAGCGATTACAAACCAAGGAGAAATCAATGGACAAACGGGAAAATAGACAAAGGGCAAAGACAGAGATTCAGCTTAAAAAGGAAAACAGTCATTAAACATGAAAAAAAATAATAATGTTTGACCTCACTAATAACAGAAGAACTGATCTCTAATCTACCAGTGGTCATTCTTACTGCCTTTTGGAAGTGAGATATTTGCTAAGAGTCTTGTGGGAACCCGAGGTGAAGTCAAAAATAGGCACAGTTATACACTTTCAATGGGAATACTGATCAGTATAACCTCTTTGGAGGTCTAAATGGTAAATCCAACACAATTTTAGCTACATATAACCTTCTACCTGGCAATTCCACTTTTTTTTTTTTTGCAAGCATGAAACAAATTTTATTGAGGAAAAGACAGATTTCCAGAGCAAGAGCAAGATAGACATTTACAAAGCAAAATACGTTCACCACAAACAGCAAATGGCTCCCTCGTCACAGCAAAAAGAGACAGCAATTCCACTTTTAAAAATTTACACTATGTTTGCACTCCTACAAATTTTGTAAAAATCCTTTTACAAAATGTATCTCACTATTGGCACTATTGAAAACCTGAAGAAACCTAAGTGGCCATCAATAGAAGACTAGCTAAATAGTGTAGTAATTAAAATAATCAATAAGTAACAAATACGCCAGCCGTGTTGTGGTGGCTCATACCTGTAGTTCCAGATACTCGGGAGGCTGAGGCAGGAAGATCACTTGAGCCCAGGAAACCAAGTCCAGCCTGGGCAACATAACGAGACCCAGTCTCTAAATAATAATAATAGATAAATGTTTATTAATAAACAAGTTGTGGTTCAACCACACGTATTTGCTGATACAGAAAGTTGTCCAAGCAACATTAGTAAGTGAAAAAAATGTCAAATAGGATGTATAATATGTTCTCATTTGTTCAACATAAGGCATATGTGTATACATGTGTGTACACAGGTGGGTGAGTGTACATATATATATGTGTGTGTGTATATAAGACATACAGATAGAGGCCTAGATATATTTAGAAAATAGAAGCACAAAACTAAGGTAACCTCTAGGAAAAGGAAAGGAATCTTACTTCTTATTTCATATCTTCCAAGCAATTTGAGTTTTTTCCCTACCATGATCATGCATTACTCACATAATTAAAAATAGTTGTAAAACCAGAGGAAACAGCAGTGTCAAGGCACCAGAGATCAATTTCTGATCTAGAAATAAACCAGTTCTGGCTCTTGGGCCGGAACAGAGAGAGGGAGAGGCAGCCAGGAGAAGAAGGAGGCTGAGTCATTCGCAGACCCAGACCCAGAGTGAGGCAATCCGCCCCCAACCAAGGAGCAAGAGAGGTACAGCAGAAGTCCAGGGCAGACTGGCCTTAGCTACAGCGACCTACCATCTGTACTGACCGTCTCCGGAGCAGGGCCTGGGGCACTGCTGGGCCTGTTGGCATCCAGGGAGCCAGAGTCCCACTGCCCGACCTGGTTGCAGGCATCCTCCTCCCGGCCCAGGGCAGGTGTCCAGCGGGGGATGTGGGAGGTGCCCTGGGAGATCAGCTCATTCAGGTAGTGTTCTATCACCTCCTTCCCCTGGAAGCCGGAGAGACCAAGGCAGCATGGGTCACTGTGATGGCCAGGGAATTCCCCCTGACATGTGGTGACTGAGCAGCCGAATGTGGCTGTCTGGATAGAGAGGTGCTGTGAGTTTCAAGTACTCACCAGATTTCCAAGACATATTATGAAGCAAAGAATGTAAAATAGCTCATTTTATATAGCTCAGTATACATTTTACACTGACAACACATTCGATAAAATAGATTATTAAAAGTAATTTTGCTTGTTTCATTACACGAATAGGGCTTTACTCAGCAATGGATCTGAGGCCTATAAAACAAGCATGAGCATTTGAACCAGGAAAATACACCACAGAATTTCCCTCCTTTTCTAGAGAATTCACTACACATGTCCAGATGTGTCAGGGCAGGGGGGACAACAATGAGGGTGCACCAATGATAAGCCACTGACTTTCTACCCATTATCTCATGTGACTTGGTCATTACTAGAACACCCATTTTACAGAGGAGAAGACTGGGGCCCCAGCAGGTTAAGGTTCTTTTGGGGGTGTTTTTTTTTTGGGGGGGGTTGCAGTTTTTGGCTGGGGCTGGGTTTGAACCCGCCACCTCTGGCATAGGGGGCTGACGCCCTACTCCTTTGAGCCACAGGCCCCGCCCCTGGGTTAAGGTTCTGGATGGATGTCACTGGAGTTACCAGGTGGCAGAGCAAGTCCTCCCTGAGACTAACATACCCTCTTGACATTGGCAGTGTACTGCTTCATGGCAATCTTCTCCAAGGCATTTTCAAAACCAAAGAAGGACCGGATGTCCAGTGAGGCGGACTGCTCAAAACAAGTCCAGTCTTCATTCTCCGGGTGGACCTGAAAGCCAGGCAGGGACAGTGCAGGGTCTCAGTGTGAGGGCCGCAGGGTCTCAGTGTGAGGGGCCACAGTGCCAAGCCTCACGCAGGCGGCATGTCACAGCCTGGCAGCACTGGCTGGGAAATTAGGACCAACAGTTCCCCCACCCAGGACAGCAGGACCAAGAAGACCCCTTACCCAGGGAAGGCAGGACCAAGGGGATCCCCACCCAAGTCTAAACTGTCAAAAAACAAAGTGCCTTCTCAGGAGGGGCCAGAAGAGCATGGATCTGATATCTGCACCCCTGCCCCTTAAATACCATATGCATACATAAAAAATTATATAGAAATACAGAATATGCTTAAGGGTAGACATAAAGTTTGTGCACAATTTAAAATAGTTTTAACATAGCAAATTGCACACGAACTTTATGGACGCCCTGTATATATAAATAAATTATATCTCAATATTACAAATTTTAGATATATATATATTTGTAAATAGTTATATATTTATATAAAGATATATATTACCTATTCTTACATATCAATAGATATCAGAAAAAAATCTGTGGGCAGAAACATCATCAGGGAATCTGTTAAATACACAGATTCCTGGGTCTGCCCCAGCTACTTCTGCCTGAGCAGGTCCAGGGTGGAGCCTGGGAATCTGCATTTCACTAGCGCTCACGGTGTAGCTGCAGTTCTCGTGGACCACCACGCGGCTGGCGAAGGTCTCATTGTGAGCATCAATGAGAAGAGTCCTTTCTTTCCAGTTCAAGACGTTTCTCTGCACGAAGACCACGTGCTCGACACCTGCGATCTATAAGGAAGGCAGGGGGCGAGTCCAGACGGCCACCCCAGACACCCCTCCCTGGCCAGGGGCGCGGATCCCTGGTCCCCGCCTACCCAGAGCAGCCCAGGACCCCTCCCTGACTCAGGACCCCCAAACTCTGCTGTGCACCCACCACCCAGGTCGGGCCCAAACTCCTGGGAACCTACACGGCCCAGGTACTCCGTACGCCAGCAGTTGCCCCTGACCCCTTGGCCCTCTCCCCTCTCGCACCCTAGCCCTGCCGCCCCCAACTCAGAATCCCCCCATCAGGACACCAACTCCCACACACTCCCCGCCTCCCCAACTCTAGTCCCCAGCTCCGTCGCCCAGCCCACTCCACCCCCCTCCCAGACCCAAGACCCCTGCGCTAGCCCCCCACCTTTCGCAGTAGTCGTGGGGCGTCCACCCGCAGCCTGCAGCTCCTCTCCACCACATGCACCGCCCCATCAGCGCTGTGGGACTCGCGCAAGACCTCGCTGCCCAGGAAGACGGGGATCTGCGGGCAGGTGGGGAAGCGCTTCTCGTAGGCCTGGGGGTGGGGGCAGAGCTGGAGTGAGAGCAGGGCTAGGGCCGCCGGGGGCCTGGG